CACCATGATTACTCATCTGTAAATTCAATATCTTAGTTGTGTTCAAAGGGAACATAACTGTTCCCATCTGTTTCCATACTGCTGGTTCTCCTAAGTTATCAGTATCACAATCCATCCTCCAATGCACATGAAGAAATAGCCATAAAATGACCAGGTCAGTGGTGACTTAAGAAAGCCAATTAGATGCTATTTTTAGGGGAAATACTCATTCAGCCTGAAGGCCCTAACACCAACTGTAGTGATTGCTGAATCTAATTTGGTGATAAATAGGATTATCACTAGTAAAAGGAGAATCTTAATTTTTTTTTTTTTAAATAAGAAAATGCTTTGGAGGCTGGGCACGGTGGCGTAAGCCTATAATTCCTAGCACTCTGGGAGCCCAACCCAGGTGGATTGCTTAAGCTCATGAGTTCAAGACCACCCTGAGCAAAAGTGAGACCCCAGTCTCTACTAAAAATAGAAAAACTAAGGCAAGAGGATCACTTGACTCTGAGTTGAAGGTTGCTGTGAGCTATGATGTCAGGGCATTCTACCCAAGGCAACAGCTTGAGACTCTGTCTCCAAAAAAAAAAAAAGAAAATGCTTTGGGACTTCACATAGAACCATCAGTTAGAGTGATTTATATATACAGGGTGGCCATAAAGTTCCCGTGCAATTTAAAATAGTTGTCTATTTTAATTTTTTTTCCCATTCTTCCTTTAGCAATTCTCTTGCCCTTTGCCTCCCAAGTAGCTGGGATTACAGGCGCCCACCACAACGCCCAGCTTTTTTTCGATCCACCCGCCTCGGCCTCCCACAGTGCTGGGACAACAGGCATGAGCCACCACGCTCAGTCAAAATATAGTTGTCTATTTTAAATCATACATTTTTTTTTTTTTTGAGACAGAGCCTCAAGCTGTCACCCTGGGTAGAGTGTTGTGGCTTCATAGCTCACAGCAACCTCCAACTCCTGGGCTCAAGCGAGTCTCCTGCCTCAGCCTCCCAAGTAGCTAGGACCACAGGCGCCCGCCGCAACGGTTGATGCCATCATTGTTACTTGGTGGGCCCGGGCTGTATTCGAACCCACCACCTTAGGTGTATGTGGCTGATGCCTTAGCCACTTGAGCCACAGGCGCCGAACCAAATCATACATAATTTAAATTGCACATGAACTTTGTGGCCACCCTGTAGAAATATTCCAAACTGGGATGGACTGAGCCAAGGGCCAGGGACAGTAGGGCACAGGCTCACAGCTGTTATTCCAGCTAATCTGGAGGCTGAGGCCAGGACCAACCTGTGCAACATGGTGAGATTCTGTTCCTTAATGAGATTTCAATCATCAAGATCATTGCAGCCTTGAATATCTAGGTTCAAATGATTCTCCCACAACAGCCTCTAGAGCAGCTGGGACTACAGGTACATGCCACTACACTGGCTACTTTTTTTTTTTTCAGTAGATACAAGGTCTCACCATGTTGCCCAGGCTGGTCTCAAAATCTTGGCCTCATGATGTCCGCCCACCTCAAGCTTCTAAAATGCTGGGATTATAGGCATGACCTACTATACCTGGCCCCTCTTATATATTTTAAATCATCTGTAGATTATTTATAATACCTAATACAACTTAAATGATATGTAAACAGTTGTTCCTGTGTCTTTAAACTTTTTATTACTTTTTATTTTTATTGTATTTTTTTTATTATTTGGTTTTTTCCTAAATATTTTCAATCCACAGTTGATTGAATCTAAGGATGTACAACTTGTAGATATGAAGGACTGAATGTACTTGATTTTTTTTTTTATTGTTTTATGTTTATTTTGTTTCATTTGTTTTGTTTTCTGAGACAGAGTCTCACTAGGCTAGAGTGTAGTGGCATCACAGCTCACAGCAATCTCAAACTCCTGGATTCAAGCCATACTCCTGCCTCAGCTTCCCAAGTAACTGGGGCTACAGGCACCTGCCACAACATTTGGCTAATTTTTCTATTTTTAGTAGAGATGGGGTATCACTATTGCTTAAGTTGGTATTGAACTCCTGAGCCTCGGCCTCCTAGAGTGCTAGGATTATAGGTGTAAGCCACTATATCTGGCCTATTTTTTTGTTTGTTTATTTGTTTTGTTTTGTTTTGAGAAAGGGTCTGCCTCTGTTGCCCAGGCTAGAGTACAGTGGCATCGTCATAGCTCACTGCAACCTCAACTCCTGGCCTCAAGCAGTCCTCCTGCCTTGGTGTGTTTTATTAATTAGTATATAATTTATACATATTATGCAATACAGTGTGAGGTTTTGATACATGTATACATTGTGTAAAAGTTAAATCAGGGTATTAAGCATATCTGTCACTTCATTTATTTTATCACTTCTTTGTGATAACATTCAAATTCTTCTAGCTATTTTGAAACATACAATACAATATTGTTAACCCTGCTCACCCTACTATGCTCTAGACCACCATAACTTAACACTCCTACCTAACCGTAATTTGTACCTGCTGAACAACCTCTGTCATTGTCCCTACTCTCTCCCTTCCCAGCCTCTGGTAACGGCTATTCTAATCTCTGTTTCTAGGAGATCACTTTTAGAGTCCACATATGAATGAGAGCAGTAATAATTCTCTCTCTGTGCCTGACTTGTTTAACATAATCCTCCAGTTCAACCATGTTGTTTCAAATGACAGGATTTCTTTTTTTTTTTTTATGGCTGGATAGTGTTCCATCATGTATATATGCCACATTCTCTTTATTCACCCATTGACGAACACTTAGATTGATCTAATATCTTGACTGCTGTGACTAGTGCTGCAGTGTACATGGGAGTGCAAATATCTGTTCAATATCCTGATTTCATTTTCTTTGGATAAATACCCAGAATATGATGGCTGGATCATACAGCAGTTTTGTTAATTACTGCTAAAAGCTAAACATCAGACTTCTATGCATCCATATGAAGATATTGAACAAAAATGTACCTTCATAAATAACTTCTAATTTTGACTACACATAACAATGTATTATGACAGGAGTATTAAGTTACTATTGCTTATTATTTTCTGTTAATGAACTCTTAAAAATGGATAAATTAAGTCAGGTGACTGGGAGTCTAAAGCAGGAGGATCGTTTGAGCCCAGGTGTTCGAGATCAGTGGGCAACACAGCGAGATCCCCTCTTCAAAAACAGGGGGGGAAAGGAATACATTAACTGTATTAGAGCTCACTCATTTGCATTTAAAAAATGAAATTAAGATTTTTCTAGCAGAAAATAAATCTGTTTTAGCAGATTTGACAGTGAAAACTAACTTTGCCAGTTAAATTGTAGATAGGTTCGTTAAAACAGCCATAATTGAGGAAATTGGGTTGACAACTGATATATCATGACAGATGAGTTTTGATAATCAAATAGTATATGATTTTTGGCATATAACTGGAAAGGAGCTCAAAGATTCAATGGGAGACATTGCTATAACAATTCCCACAACTTATACGAAAAAGGTTTCTTAGTACTTACATATTTTTTAAAAAAGCATCCCCCAAAATAGAAAATAGACCTAGAATTAATGTTGAACCTTGACCCATTGAGCAATAAGTTGTATTTATCCCTGGGCACATGAAATAATTGGGGGGGGGGTAGCCCTACTCATCTCACTAAGATAGGCTTTTCAAGTAAAGAAATAGTTAAATAAAAAAGTTTAACATTTATAACATATTTATGTTTTTTTTTTTTTTTTTTTTTTTGAGACAGAGCCTCAAGCTGTCCCCCTGGGCAGAGTGCCGTGGCATTACAGCTCACAGCAACCTCCAACTCCTGGGCTCAAGCGAGTCTCCTGCCTCCGCCTCCCAAGTAGCTGGGACCACAGGCGCCTGCCACAACGCCTGGCTATTTTTTGGTTGCAGCCGTCATTGTTGTTTGGCGGGTCCGGGCTGGGGATTCGAACCCGCCACCTTAGGTGTACGTGGCTGGCGCCTTAGCCGGTTGAGCTATAGGCGCCAAGCCAACATATTTATGTTTTGATCATTTGTATTCTAGTCATTGTAATGAGAATACAGAAGAAAATATTAACCTTTAGAGCCTTATGGATTCAGAAAATAAGACAGATTTTAAAATTTTATGTTACATGTGTATATACATTTTAATTACAAAGTATGGTAGGATGATCAGTTAAGTTAAAAATATATTAGGGTAAAATCAGAAGAAACTAAATGAAAATAATTCAAGAAAAGAAATGAAGAATAAAATTTTCAGCTGTCACAGAGGATATTTTTAAATGAATTTTGGTAATTTTATTTTTATTTTAATTTATTTTGAGACAGAGCCTCAGCTGTCGCCCTGGGTAAAGTACTGTGGCATCACAACTCACAGCAACCTCCATCTCCTAGGTTTAAGCAATTCTCTTGCCTCAGCCTCCAAGTAGCTGGGACTACAGGTGCCCGCCACAGCACCCAGCTATTTTTTGGTTGTAGTTATCTTTGTTTTTTGGCAGCTCTGGGCTGGATTTGAACCCGCCAGCTCTGGTGTATGTGGCTGGTGGCTTAGCCACTTGAGCTACAGGTGCCGAGCCTAATTTTGGTCATTTTAAAATTAAAATGTGCTAAAATATGTAGGCTTTGTAAATATTTCAGCTTACAGTGAAAATTTTTAGATTTTAGCCTAAAAATATGAGCGGGGGCTTGTACATATGCATATTTTCTGGTTAGAGGAGTGGTTCATAGATCTCACTGGCTTCCAGGTAGATTAGGTAAGCCAGAAACAGTTAAGTGCAGTCAGAGGCAGGGTCACCAGGCTCTGAGGCATTACATTCATCCTAGCCTGAACTTGTTCAGGATACCTTTCCTGTACCAACATGTAGGTAGGAATATGGAAGGTTACAAAAGGATGTCTGCTTTTAAAAATCTCAGGAGAATTATAAATTTGCAGGATAGAACTCTCAGTTCAAAACATCTTCCTCTTTTCTGTATATCTCCATTGAATAATTATTTTCCTCCTGTGATTGTTTCATATTTGTAAGTTAATAGTGCTTTCTCTTTCAGTTTGAAGGAAGAAAATACTGTGAACATGACTTTCAGATGCTCTTTGCTCCTTGTTGTCATCAGTGTGGTAAGTTTTACTGCTGATTGTAAAGTAAAAAGTGAGTTTCAAAATCACTTCGGTCACTAACTACCGGCACTCTGGGAGGCTGGGATGGGAAGATCCCCTGAGCGTGGGAGTTTGAAGTTGCTGTGAGGTAGGCTGATGCCACTGCACTCTAACCGGGGCAACAAAGTGAGACTGTGTCTCAAAAAAATAAAAACAAAGCAAAAAACCTCACACATTTATTATAAAAAGTGAAAAAAATGTATAAAATAAATAAAGATATTAGTGATAAAAATCATTTTTGGTACTCAGTTATTGGTAGGCACTTTATCAGTTCTTTTCTCTATTATTAATACACATACGTAACAAACTGGAAGAATATCAAAACCTGGGCTGGGCACCTGTAGCTCAGTGGGTAGGGTGCCAGCCACATACATCAGGGCTCCTGGGTTTGAACCTGGCCTGGGGCTGCCAAACAATAATGAGAACTACAACCAAAAAATAGCAAGGTGTTGTGGCAGGCACCTGTAGTCTCAGCTACTTGGGAGGCTGAGGCAAGAGAATTGCTTAAGCCTAAGAGTTTGAGTTTGCTATGAGCTGTGATGCTAGGGCACTCAACCAAGGGTAACATAGTAAGACTCTGTCTCAAAAAAAAAAAGAGAGAGTATCGGTTTGGTGCCTGTGGCTCAAGCAACTAAGGCGCCAGTCATATACACTTGAGCTGGAGGGTTCAAATCCAGCCCAGGACCGCCAAACAACAATGATGGTTGCAACCAAAAAATAGCTGGGCATTGTGGCAGGTGCCTGTAGTTCCAGCTACTTGGGAGGCCGAGGCAGGAGAATCGCTTGAGCCCAGGAGTTGGAGGTTGCTGTGAGCTGTGATGCCAGGGCACTCTACCCAGGGTGATAGCTTAAGGCTCTGTCTCAAAAAAAAAAAAAAGAATATCAAAACCTGAAGATAGTTCGGGGGGGGGGGGTGGGGGTTGAGACAAAGCTGATTTTTAAAGACATCTAGTGTCTAGGTGTGTATATTTAGGTAACTAGGACTCCTATTAGTTGGTCTTTTGGAGTGTTCTTTTCTTGTGTTAGTGCATCCTTTATCTAGTCAGGGGTGTCCAGCATGTGCTCACAGACCACATGCAAAAAGCTTGTGTGATGTCCAGAAATAAGTATGCAGGCACCTTTTCTTTGTTTATTAGGTGTCCTTAGTGTTCATGTATTTAATATGTGGCACAAGGTAGCTCATTCTTCTAATTTGCAACAGAGAAAAACAAGGTTGGACACCCCTGAAAGTTTTTGGGTTTTCAAGGAAAGAGACTGGGAGGATATCAGCAAGGTGCTTAAGATGCTTATAGAAGCTTGGGCTTGCCCTGATGGTACAAAAGTGCTTGACTTGCTTTCATTTTAGCCACTTCACTGGTTGCTAATAGCTCTATTAGGTTTCCAGAGATTGAAGAAATTAAATAGGATATTCTAAAAGTATAGTGAAAAAAAAATAAATATGGGTTATAAGAATTTGCTATAGATTTCTGTGTTAACACTGAGCAGAAATTAAACGAGAGGCATTCAATAAATCCTGTTCAAAAGGGGAAAGCTAGTTCCGGGATGTGATAAAATAGCCCCAAAATACTAAGGCCAGGCACTGCAGCTCACACCTGTAATCTTAGCAATCTACGAGCCTGGGGCCAGAGGAATATTTGAACTCAGGAGTTTGAGACCAGCCTCAGCAAGATCAAGACCCTGTCTCTACTAAAACAAACAAACAAAACAACTAGCTGGGCCCCATGGTGGGTGCCTGTAGTTTCAGCTACTTGGGAGGCTGAGGCAAGAGGATCTCTTAAGCAAGCCCAAGAGTTTAAGGTTGCTGTGAGCTATGACACGACAGCACTGTACACAGGGCACAGAGACTCTTATCTCAAAGAAAAAAAAGAAAAGCTCCCAAATATAGCCACTGAATCAAAAACAAGGACTCAGATGAAATTAAAACCATTTTTTGTTTTGAATGTGGTGCTTGCTCTGGTAGACACAGGCATATTAATAAATAAAAAGCCCTCTTTTTTCAAGAAAGATTTAAATAGATATTTTTGTCACCTTATTTGCTTTCAGCAAATAAGGTGCCACACTTATTACTTAGTAACATTCTGTGTATGTGACTTCCCCACAGGTGAATTCATCATTGGCCGAGTTATCAAAGCAATGAATAACAGTTGGCATCCTGAGTGTTTCCGCTGTGACCTCTGCCAGGAAGTTCTGGCTGATATTGGGTTTGTCAAGAATGCTGGGAGGTAGGAGTTTCCATCCTTGTCGGATGTGGGTGGACAACATGACTATTACAAGATGGTATTTTCCCTGTGGGATGCAAAGCAGTGCTCTAAGACCCCTGAATGTAGGTCCTGGGGACCAAGACACTGTAGTGCACTGACTCTGTGATGCCCACTCGGAAAGAGTTTCTGTGCATGGGACACAACTGCTCCATGCACAGCTGAGTCACTAATAGGGAGAGGTACACAGATGGACTTTCTTTAAAATCAGTTGAGACACTGGGGTTGGAACACATTTTTCCTGTAGCTTGATTCTGCTTTAAAACACAGGAGTGATTTTTAAAGAAATGGTTTCTTTAATTTCTTTTCAGAGATAAAGGAAGTATATTTCTTTTTAATTATTAGGAAAAAACTAGGATTTTAAATTTAAGTTCTGACTCTTTTTTAGACACCTGTGTCGCCCTTGTCATAATCGTGAGAAAGCCAGAGGCCTTGGGAAGTACATTTGCCAGAAGTGCCATGCCATCATTGATGAGCAACCTCTGATATTCAAGAATGACCCTTACCATCCAGACCATTTCAACTGTGCCAACTGCGGGTATTATGACTTTTTTCTTTTTATGACATAGTGAAATTAAAAGATTACATTTATCTACATTTCTGATTCTCCAGCAAACAAAATTGTGTTTCTCTACATTTTAGTCTGAAAAATTTTAAAACTATAAAAGAGTTAAGAGAATAGTATAGTGAATACTTTTCATTTAGCTTTTCCAGTTAATGTTTTGCCACACTTGTGTGTGTGCACGTACGTACATACATACCTTTAATTTTTTTTTTCACTGAACAGTTCAAAAGTAGGTTGTAGACATCATGACTCTGACCATACATCTAAGAAGGGCATTTTCCTATAAAACCACAAAAATCTTTTTTTTTTTTAGAGACAGAGTCTCACTATGTTGCCCTCAGCAGAGTGCTGAGGCATCACAGCTCATAGCAGCCTCCAACTCCTGGGCTTAGGTGATTCTCTTGCCTTAGCCTTAGGCGCCCAGCCATTTTTGTTGCAGTTTGGCTGGGGCCGGGTTCGAACCCACCAACCTCGGTATATGGGGCCGGTGCCCTACCCACTGAGCCACAGGTACCGCCCAGAAACCACAGTAATGTTATCATACTTAAGAAAGTTACCAGTAATTTTGTAGCGTGTGTATCTGATATCAGTCCATACACATATTAAAATATCCCCAGTTATCCCCATGTTTTTCCTTTTTTTTTGAGACAGAGTCTCACTATATCACCCTCAGTAGAGTGCCCTGGCGTCATAGCTCACAGAAACCTCAAACTCTTGGGCTCAGGCGATTCTCTTGCCTCAGCCTACCAAGTAGCTGGGACCACAGGCGCCCGCCACAACACCCAGCCATTTTTTGGTTACAGTTGTTATTGTTGTTTAGCAGGCACAGGCCGGGCTCAAACCTGCCGCCTTCAGTGTATGTGGCTAGAGCCCTACTCATTGAGCTATGGTCACCGAGCCATCCCATGTTTTTCTAATACAAGATCCAAGAACAACAAAATAAATCTTATCTCTGTACATACATAACTTTTACAGTTGTAACAAATAGATGTTAAATTACGTTTGTTTAATTTTGCTTGATTTATATCTAAAAAGTATATATTTGTTTGTCTTCAGAAAGTTATAAATTGTGAATTTTCTGAATTTGCTACTTAGTATAAAAATTTGGTGTAAAAAGATTCTTTACTATCGTCAATATGAGCTAAATTATAGAGGGGAGGGGGAAAACAGATTTAATCGATTAAGAAAACAGTTTTATGGTATAAGTTCAGCCACCTCATCTTTTGTGATTGAGTTATCAGTTTGTGCCTTATCAGGTTTTCCCTGTCTTGCCTCTTGTGGGATTTTTCTTTGTCCACTTTTCATTAGGATCTCTTAGAGAATTATTTATAACAGATGAAATTCAGGGCAGTGCCTGTGGCTCAGTGAGTAGGGTGCTGGCCCCATATACCAAGGGTGGTGGGTTCAAGCCCAGCCCCGGACAGACTGCAACAAAAATAGCCAGGTGTTGTGGCAGGTGCCTGTGATCCCAGATGCTTGGGAGGCTGAGGCAAGAGAATTGCCTGGGCCCAGGAGCTAGGGGTTGCTGTGAGCTGTGATGCTACAGCACTCTACCCAGGCCAACATAGTGAGACTCTGTCTGGAAAAAACAAAACAAAACAGATGAAATTCAAACAAGTCCATTTGGCTGATTGGAGTCATCTCCAGCCAAATTTTTATTGACACAAGATACTGAAAATAATAGCTAATTTGAGCATTTGGAGAAAATTATGGTCATTTCATTGTTTATTTTCTATTAACCTATAACTGTTCTTAACAGTTTATGAAAATAACTGCTAATAAATGGAACTAGTTTCCAAACTCTTCAGTTTGCTTGGAAAGGTAGTGTCTTAGTCCATTTTTCACAGAATCCCACACACTGGGTAATTTATAAGGAACATAAGTTTATTTGGCTTATGGTTCTGGAGGCTGGGAAGTGTAGCCTCTGGTGATGACCTTTTTGGTGTATTGTAACATGGCAGAGGGCATCACATGGAAGAGAGAAAGGGGGAGGGAGAGTTGGGGGCTGAACTCATCCTTTTATAAGGAATGTACTCCCTCAGTAATGGAACTAATCCATTTTTTTTCTTTTTGAGACAAAGTCTCCCATTGTTGCCCTAGGCTAGAGTGCTGTGGCACGATAGCTCACAACTAGCAACTTCAAACTCCTGGGCTCAAGCAATCCTCTTGCTTCAGCTTCCCAAGTAGCAGGAACTACAGGGACCTGCCATGATGCCCAGCTAGTTTTTCTATTTTTAGTGGAGACCAGTTCTTGCTTTTGTTCAGGCGGGTTTTGAACTCTAGAGCTCTAGCAATCCACCTACGCTGCCCTCTGAGAGTGCTAGGATTACAGGTGTGAGCCAGCAGACACTAATTCATTTATGAGGGCAGAGCCCTTATAACCTAATCACTTCTTAAAGGTCCCATTTCCCTACACCTGTGCATTGAGAATCACGTTCCCAGCATAAGAACTTTGGGGGACACATTCAGTCCATAGCAGGTAGTATTACTCAGTGTACCCGCAGCACTGTGATTATTCCCTGAAGCTTTTTAAGGAAGACAAATGGGCTAAAATGTAACATGATGATATGAGAAGGAAATGATGAATATTGGGGTGGCGGCATATATCTGACCTATCCTTGTATTTTATTATTGTTATTATACAATACAGATGTTTGTAATCTGAAACTTGCTCAAGCCTGTGAATTCAGGTTACTCTGATCACATCTAATGGGGGGGGGAACTACCAGGAATGATCACAGTAATATCTTTTAGCACCTTCTAAAAAGTTTGCTAGCCACATTTGGTTGCCAGTCTCTCTCTCAGTAGTAATATTCAGTTGGGCATCTTTCTCATGGCCAGGAAGGAGCTGACAGCTGATGCCCGGGAGCTGAAAGGGGAGCTGTACTGCCTGCCGTGCCATGATAAAATGGGGGTCCCCATCTGTGGTGCTTGCCGTCGGCCCATTGAGGGGCGTGTGGTCAATGCCATGGGCAAGCAGTGGCATGTGGAGGTGAGTTGCGAACAGCGTAGGGGGTAACCAGTACTTTGGAATGTCCATGGTTCAGGTGTGCTAGCAAGACTAGGAAATTCTAAAGGTTAAAGAATACAGAATACACACATATTACTTTCGCGATTCTCTCAGTAAGAGATAAGATGTGCGCTTTAGTTCTTAAATCCTTCTTGAAGCAAGAAGTGTTATGGTCTTCTGAATCCAGTAGCAGCTATTTACAGATCCTACTAAGATGTTCATCTCTTTACTCGTTTTGTGTTTTGTGTTTGAATAGGCTGGGGTTTAAAATAACCCGACAAAGACTGGCACACAATCTAAATTAAGACTGTAAATGTATTGTGGGGTTACTTACGGCCAAATGAAATGGCTGCCTCAAACCTTCATGTATTTTCTCTGAGGATAGATTAACTTTGGGATTTATTTCATTAGGTATAAAATGGGCAATTCCAAAAATGACTTTTGGCAATTTTTTCCAGCATTTTGTTTGTGCCAAGTGTGAAAAACCATTTCTTGGACATCGCCATTATGAGAGGAAAGGCCTGGCATATTGTGAAACCCACTATAATCAGGTATTTTACTGATATACTTTTATAAATTTAAGCTTGTTAATATTTTAGCTGCAAGGAAATCTATTGTAAAATATACATTGGTCTATAGAGATTTGTTTTTAAATTTTTATTTGGGAAATAAATTCAGACTCAGAAAAATTATAAAATAAAAATAGAAAGAATACCTGTAGACCTTTTATGCAGATTCACCGTTTGCATCATCATTTGCACCTGTTAGATCTTGCTGTATAAAAAACAAACACATATCGGCAGCACCATAGCTCAGTGGGTAGGGCTCCAACCACATACACCAAGGCTGATGGGTTCAAACCTACCTGGGCCAGCTAAACAGCAATGACAAATGCAACAACAACAAAAAAAATAGCCAGGTGTTGTGGCAGGCGCCTGCAGTCTCAGCTACTTGGGAGGCTGAGGCAAGAGAATTGCTTAAGCCCAAGAGTTTGAGGTTACTGTGAGCTGTGATACCACAGCACTCTACTGAGGATGTGACATAGTGAGACTCTGTTTCAAAAAAAACCACACCCATATCTTTATACATTTATATAATTACATGCAAAGTTCTTTTAATGAAACATTTGATAATAAGCTTTAATGAATCATCATCCTTTACTTTTAAAGACTTCAGTGTAGATTTCCCAAGAATATGGAACTACTTTATTCAACTATAGTCATTAGTGTTAATAACTTTATCCATTTATTTAAAATTTTGTCACTTGACCCAATAATGTCCTCGTAGGACTTTGTTTCCACTCCTGTACTAGACCTAGTTTATCATGTTTCCACTCCTGTACTAGACCTAGTTTATCATGTTTCTTCGCCTACTTAAATCTGGAACATTTTTAGAGCCTTTAAAAATTTTTTTTGATGACATAGACATTTTTGAAGACTATAGATTCCCTTCCACCCTTAATAAATTGCTTTTTATTTGAGTTCATCTGCTGGTTCCTCATAATTAGACAAGATGAAACACTCTAGGCTACAGCACTGCGTAGGTGGTGAGGTGCCCTCGCAGGGCCTTGTCTCTAGAGGGCTCTGCATCCCTGATGGTAGAGGTCACCCAGGCTGAAGCTGACTGGTACCTCCACCATGAATTATTTCCTTCCCTCTCATGCAAGTAGTAAGCAATTTGTGGACATTCATTTTACAAACACGTAAATGTCCTGTTCCTTGTCAAACTCCCCCCTAGATTTAGTGCCCCTGACAATTCTTGCCTGCTCTAGTTGCAAATGACAATTCTCCAGTCCTACACCCTATGCTTATTTGGTCCTCAGCTCTCTGCCTGAGCAAGGGCCTGCTTTCCTCCCCCATTTATGAGTTTCTTTATCTTCCTTATCCAAATGAATTCATAGTTCTGGATTTAGATAGCCAGCTATTTGTTTTTAAGTGATAGAAAGAACTAAAACTATATTGGCTCGGCACCTGTGGCTTAAGCAGCTAAGACACCAGCCACATACACCAGAGCTGGTGGGTTCAAATCCAGCCCAGGCCTGCCAAAAACAACAATGACAGCTGCAACCCAAAATGGCTAGGTGTTGTGGCGGGCGCCTGTAGTCTCGGCTACTTGGGAGGCTGAAGCAAGAGAATTGCTTAAGGCCAAGTGCTGTGAGCTGTGGTGCCACAGCACTCTACTGAGGGCAACATAGTGAGACTCTGTCTCAAAAAAAAAAAAAAAAAAAACCAACTAAAACTATATTAAATATTCAGTGTTCAGTGTTCTAAAATTTAATTCTACCACATCTTGAAATTTTACCATATTTTTTCATTTTCAGCTATTCGGCGATGTTTGTTTCCACTGCAACCGTGTAATAGAAGGTGATGGTAAGTATCTGTGTGGATTTTATATGGCACTGTTTTGATATAAAAGTAATGCTTGGGTAATGTGAAAATTGAAAGGTTGGTAATTGGTATTGTTTGGAATGGGATCATTATCAGTTTCTTTTTCTCTTTTCTTTGGCATGTTTCCCAAGTCATCTATAGTAGTAAGATAATATCCAAGAGTTGAATTTGTTACTCATTTATAATACTTAGGCACTGCCACAGTGTTGTTATGCTGGGCAATTGTGGGAACCCTTCCTGGTGGATCCAAGACTTGTTTTTTATTTCCAGTTCTGGAAGCTCTGCAGTGTTTATCAGGAACAGTTTAATCTGCTGTGGTAGTTAGGAAGAGTCACTTTGACCTGTACATGCTAAAACCTGGCATTTACTAGCAAGCATTCCAGCGACTTATCAGCCTTACACTGGGTAATTATGTTGGGCTGGCCGACTGGAACAGAAAGGAAGCAGCTGTGTTTGCTCATGGTCACGAGCACAATTCTGCCAGAGACTTCCTGGCAAAGTTTTAAACTAGCCTGTTTTTTAGCATGATTCACGGTTCTCAGCAGACTTTACCTAACTGAGGAAATACTTTCTGAAACACAGTTTATGTGCAGTTTGCAAAAAGGCTAGTTCAGGAAAACAATCTTTAGTGCCATTGAAAAGAAACCCTTCCTACATGAAACAGTGGCCAGGTGAAAGAGGCTGTCAAAGGAGGCTATTTTCCTACTGTAAGCTTAGGAAAAAAGGACTCCCACAGGCAAAGAAGTTACCGTCTGGATTTTAAGAAATTATTTGTCTGGTTCCTGTTTCTTTGTTGGGCCAGTGGCAGTAGAGACAGAAACAGCAGAGTGTGCTGATCAGCAAGCACTCTGCCAGAAAAGCTTACCTGAGTGGCACAGGGTGCACACGTTGCTGCTTTGTCCATGGGCTGAGAGGGCACAGTCGTTGGTATAAGACACGGGATGTATCATTGATATGCCTCACAGGATACTTAAGGAAAAAGAAGAATTAATACAGTTGCCCTCAGTATGAGAGCTTCACACCTATGGATTCAACCAATCATGGACAGAAAATGTTCTGGAAAAAAAATAACAGTACACCAATAAAAATAATGCAAATAACAAAACAGTACATTATAATGACTATCATTAACCTTGTATTAGGTAAGTAATCTAGAGATGATTTAAAGTACAGGAAAAAAAATGTATGTAAGGTATATGCATTTTATATCTGGGACTTGAGTATCTGAGATTTAGAACTAATCTCCTGCAGATACTGAGGGACAACTATATAAATAATGGTTGAAAAGGCAATAATAATTTTCCCTAAATTAAAGCCTTTAGTCACAGAAGATATAAGTGTTTGGTTTGTGTATTTATTTAATAATATTAAAAAATAGTCCTAATAAATTATTAAACTTGATTGAATCAATATACATTAATTATTGGCACTGAGCTTTTTAGCTATGGGATTCTTCTGCAAGTAAAGAACCTCCCTAGAAAGAAGTCTTGAGAATCTCTTCCAAGTGACATGGAAGTAGCCTTAGAATAAGTAGTTCTGTTTTAGATTTGGAAGATTTAAGCTGCCCACTTCCTGCACCCATGTATCCATGTGACCAAATCTCTCTCCTCCTCCTCCAGTGGTCTCTGCTCTTAACAAGGCCTGGTGTGTGAACTGCTTCGCCTGTTCTACCTGCAACACTAAGTTAACACTCAAGTAAGTCTATGGTTCAGTCCAGTGGGGATCCTGAGACTCAGAACTCTGGGGTGAAGAATTTAAAAAAAGAATTATTTAATCCCTTATTACTTCTTTCTGCTCAGGCCTTCTGAAAGTAAAGTTTCTTCCTTTAATTGTTCCCTGTTCTTTCTTCTTTCTATTCCTTCTTTGTCCTACTCAAAGGGATAAATTTGTTGAAATTGATCTAAAGCCAGTCTGCAAACACTGTTATGAAAAAATGCCAGAAGAATTTAAGAGGCGACTTGCCAAACGGGAGAGAGAAGCAAAGGATAAGGACAAGCAGAAAAAGAAAAAGCCAGTCTGTTTGTAAACTTTTCTATCCCTTCTATCATCATTTTCACTGCTTTCCTCTTTGGTTAGTCTTTTGAAATATGTTTTTGTTCTGTTTCCGTCTTTTGCTCCCCCTACCCCTCTTTTTGGCATGTATTTGTAGGCGTCAGAGATCTAAACACAAGTATTTGTCCTGCATAGAGTTGGTCCTTTTGCATAATTATTAAAATGATAAAGATTAAATAAATAAGTTACATACCTAATACCAGCTTGTGCTAATATATTTCACTTATTCTGTAGTTATTCTAACCTTTTTTAAAATTACAATACGCTATAGATAACTTCTCTTTCATTTTTTAAAATGGATTCAAAGGGAAGAATTCCAGTCTCTTAATAGACATGAGGAAAAGTTTTAAAGTGTTTTTGTCTGATAACTGCAGCTTTTAAGATCCTGGCTTTGGTTTCTTTGCCTAAAATCATTTAATTGATAAATTCTAAGTATTGTTTGATATTTTTTTAAATGCATGTATTCTAAGTTCTGTATGAAATTTTTTGGCATGTATTATATCTAAACAAAGTCCATCTAATTTAAATTAGATATCTTCTCTATGATGTTTTATATGCTTTCATACAATGCCCATATGCTACTGTGTACAAATTCATTTCTTTGATGTCTTCAAGCTGCATTATTCCTGATTTTCATGGACAGTATTTCAATCTTTGAAATTTTATTTAATTACTAACATTATTGTTTCATTTTCTCCCATGACTGCCATTGTGTTTAGAGCTCTAAACTTTTTTTTTTTTTAAGACAGTGTCTCATTCAGTCACCCTGGGTAGTGTGCTGTCACGTCACAACTTTAAGTCTTGGGCTCAAGTGATCCTCTTGCCTCAGCCTCCCGAGTAGCTGGGACTACAGGGATCTGCCACAGCACCTGGCTATTTTTTTTAGAAGCAGGATCTTGGGCGGTGCCTGTGGATAGGGTAGGGTGCTAGCCCCATATGCCAGAGGTGGCGCTTTAAACCCAGCCCTGGCCAAAGAAAAAAAAAAGAGATAGAAGCAGGGTCTCACTCTTGCTCAGGCTGGTCTCAAACACCTGAGCTCAAGAATCTAGCCTCCCAAAGTGCTAGGAATACAGACGTGAGCCACCAAGCCTGGTCCGGGAGCTCTAAAGATTTTATGAAGAGGAATATGTTCTTTTTAAAGAGTAAATTTTTTCTTTATTTTTTGGAAATAGAGTCTCATTATGTCACCCTCGGTAGAGTGCTGTGTAATCACAGCTCATAGCAACCTCAAACTCTTAGTCTTAAGCGATTCTCTTGCCTCACACACCCCCCCCCCCACAAGTAGCTGGGAATACAGGTGCCCACCACAATGCCCGGCTATTTTTTGTTGTTGTTGCTGTTGTAGTTGTCATTGTTATTTAGGAGACCTGGGCCGGGTTCAAATCTGCCAGCCCTAGTGTATGTGGCCGGCACCTTAACCCACTAAGCTACACGTGCCAAGCCAGTGAATTTTTTCTTTTATCAAAAAAACAAAATGGCAGTTACTAGTTTTTGTTCTAAGTAGACCTTAAGAGAAATTAATTCAACTATGTTATTTAAAACAAATTCCCCTTGAAGCATTTGATCTGTCAGTTAAAATATATTTGAATTACTGTCAGCATAACGGTCTCTGAAAAACAGCTGTAAAGTAATTACTAGTATGGTGTTTTAAAATAGAGGATTTTTTTTTTGAGACACAGAACATAAAAGGATAAGATTTTTCATTTTATCTATGTGGGTCAGAATTAACTTTGTTATTAACATAGTTCTTTAAAATGATCTTGAAGCAAATAGTCTAGTTTATTATACTTTAAAAATACATTAAAAATTCTATTAGCTAATTTTTGTCATAGATAACAATATAGCACTAGACTTGGTCCACAAATACTTCCTAAATAGAATTTTACAGATAAGTTATAAAATTGAGTGTTTTACTCAATTCAATATTAAAGACCCTGGATTCCAACAGCAATAAGCTACTGTAATATTGGAAATGTATTACCAATGGTCAGGAGATCATCAAAGAAGTTGTCTTCTCCTGAACTGATTTACAAATAAGTTGATAATATGTATTGCTCTTGCTTTTAAAAAGAATAATTGAGTTCTCCAAACCGCTACCATTTACCATATAATTATGAATGATCTGGTTACATTACTGTTCTTAAGGGGATTAAAAACTTTCTTTTATCTCCCTTACCAACCTTCTGTGAGACAACCAAAATAACCCATCATGACTCAAGATAATTTTTTTTTTTTTGGTGGTTTTTGGCTGGGGTCATCTCTGGTATATGGGGCCGGCATCCCACTCCTTTGAGCCACAGGCATAGCCCTCAAGATAATTTTTTTTGTGGGGGAGCAGTTTTTGGCCAGGGCTGCGTTTCAACCCGCCACCTCTGGAATATGGGGCCAGCGCCCTACTCCTTTGAGCCACAGGCACTGCCCAAGATAATTTTTTTAAAAGATTTAAAGTGATTTTTTTTTTTTTTTTTTTTTTGGTCGGGGCTGAGAGGAAAACAATTTTATACCAGGAGAGATGAAACCTCATAGCTGCCTAATGTAAAATACTAAATAAGGTCATGTTGCCACCAATAAAGAGATCATTCCATTACAAAAAAAAATTCTTTGCTTTAAATACATGTATTCTTCCAGTTGTTCTCATGATACTTTAGATTGACTTTACTTACCTAAGTATATTTACATTAGGTTTTCTGTTTACTTAGCACAGAGTAAAATGTAATACAGAATCTTTGTTACACAGATAGATGTAAAGAACCAATTTATAAGGACCGGCTCAGTGCCTTTAGCTCAGCGGCTAGGGTGCCAGCCATATATACTAGGGCTAGCGTGTTCAAACCCAGCCCAGGCCTGTAAAACAGCAATGACAACTACAACAAAAAAAATAGCCGAGCATTGTGGTGGGTGCCTGTAGTCCCACCTACTTGGGAGACTGAGGCAAGAGAATCACTTAAGCCCAAGAGTTTGAAGTTACTGTGAGCTGTGACACCACAGCACTCTACCCAGGCCAACAGCTTGAGACTCTATCTCAAAAAAAAAAAAACATTTTTTTTTAAGGATAGTTTTTTTAAAAACAATATTGCAAATTTCTTCCATTTACTACAATAAGAATTGAGATTAGAATGATAATCCTTTACTAACATGAACATAGATGTCATCATACAGTGTTTTCATTTAGTTCAGTAAAATTCCATACTAGTTATATGTCTGTTGTATATGTTTCCACTAATTTCTTTCTTTTTATAATTATTTAGGAATAAATTTGTGGAGTTTGACATGAAGCCAGTTTGTAAGAAGTGCTATGAGAAATTTCCATTGGAGCTGAAGAAGAGACTTAAGAAACTAGCTGAGACCTTAGGAAGGAAATAGCTTCCTTGATTTTTTTCCTTCTTCTTCATAAAGACCAGAAATTTGATTTGATCCACGTTTATTTATAAAAGCTGTATCTCAAAGCAGTTGACAGCTAAGAGGACATATAGATTCTTTCATCTCCTTTTTTTCATTAAAAAAGAAAAAATAATTTGTGTATTTCAAACACAGATGAAATCAAGATTCGCCTTTATTAATTAACTCTTATCAATTTGTTGACATGTAGACTATATACCAAAAAAAATCCATGGCGAAATGTTAAATCTTAATTAAAGCCCCCCCCCAAATTAAATGTAACTTTTTAAAATCAAAGGAGTCAGCTTTTAAATGACTCAGGTATAAAAACAGCATAAACATTAATTAACTTTGTATTCAAAAGAAAAGTACTTCTAATTGCTGTTGAGGGAGAATATATAAAAGAAAAATAACCAAGAAAAACAATCTTAGTATTATTTAGTTTATCAAACTGGTAGTTATAAAATGAATGAATACACATACTATTACTAAAACAAGGAATAAGTGTATTCAGAACTACTTTTTTTAATGTAATAATTACTATGCTTAGTTTTATATTTTGCTCTCCTTGCGAATTCTTCTTTATGTGATTACTTAACACAGTAGTTATAGCTAGCTGATAGTAGGTCTTTTAAAATTTTGTGCAAGAAAATTTATACCAGGTATTTGAAAATATGGTATACTTTACAGTAATGGAAAAATGAAGTATTTTTTAATGTGTTTCAGCAATTATGCTTCTCAGCTTACTGTCAAACATGTAGTCTTAGAATAGACAATGAAATTAAATTGTATGTAGCTTGAAATGTATCACTTCAAAAGTACACATTAATGTGTATGTTGGTCATATTGCCTTTAGAACCATGCTAATATCTATGCTTTTATGCAATAAAACTTGCCTTGCCTTAGAAAATACATACTTTAATCAGGAATTCTAGCCATTTCATACAATACTAACCAAAAATAAGGGCATTGACTGAGATTGGTAAACCATTTACCACAGCTGTAATTAAATTAAAAAAAAAATTTTTTTTTCCCTGAGACCTATTGAAGAATACTGTTGACAATGTTTCAGGTTTTTCATTTAAAATCTTATACTTAATTAGACTTTATTTACTAGGTGTAGGAGGTATTAAATTTCATTTTTAAATTGGAAAGGGGTGTTTTAAGTGTCAATTTTAAGTTAAAATTATTATTTTATTTTCATTGAAGAATACGGTTGACAGTGTTTCAGGTTTTTCATTTAAAATCTTATACTTAGACTTTACTAGGTATAGGATTTATTAAATTTTATCTTTAAATTGGAAAGGGGTATTTTAAGTGTCAATTTTAGGTTAAAATTATTTTATTTTCATAAAGTTTTATCCTGATGTTTCTGGACCATTCTTTCTGGATAAATTTGTTGTGTAAAACAAGCTTTATGAACATTTTAAATGTTGCTGCTGCTGTTATCTAAAAAGGAAGTTGCCAAGATAGACTTTTTGGGGAAAATTATTGGTTTTACCAAAAATTGCTGAAATAGTTTTGCCATTAAAAATATCTCAGGATGCTACCACTCTGCCATTAAAATATTTGTATAGTGCATTTTTAAAAATTTTGTGCATGCACTTTATGGAATAAATTGTTTCGTTTAGATAATTTAAAACCAGTAATTTCTTAGTGTTCTCTTAGAGTCAAAAGAATGAACTCGTTACCATGAATGAGTGAAAATAATATGTAGTTTGACCACATGTGCTCAGTTAGTTTAATCTTTGTATTTGACAGAGAATCAAAATCCTTTCAGTGTGCCTTTGTCAGCTAATCTGTGACCAGCAGTGAAAACCATGGAAGTTATTTATTAAATATTATGCTATAATATAAGCAAAATAGGACAAAGTTTGCAATTCAGAGTCTTGATGCTAAATTCTTATATACCCTAAACCAGATACACAGAGCAGAAAAGCAAGTATTTGCATATGTTCTTCATCACTTGAAGATGCATGAAGGCCTGAACTTGACTGATTGCATTTATATATATATATCTCTCTCTCTCTCTCTCTCTCTCTCTCTCTCTCTCAAGGCACTTCCTGTTACTGTAGGTCTCCCCATTGTCTTTTCTGTCTTAACATCTTTCTTGGAAGTTCTACTTGTTCATCCTGTAGTACTTTGGGGTAGTTTAGTACTTTATTCCTTGATAAAGGTATCATTGGAGCCCTCACATGTGGGCAAGAAGAAAAAAATTGAAAAGTTTTAAGTGGCATAAAAGACAAACTCTATCTGGTTCATGGTATTTTTCATGGAGCTTGCCATGGTTGCTGGAAAACTTAGGCTGTAAGCATCTCTTAGTTTTAAAGTACTACAAGGTAGTTTGAAGTAAGTCATTGTTCTTACCAAGTTTCTAAGTCTTCTTAGCAAGCCTAATATAATTGGGGGAAATGGGTGCAAGTAAAACATTCTTTGGATCATATTCAAAGCCTTATTAACACTATACCTGAAATAATAGGTCACTTTGCCTCCTGTTTGCTAAAATAGCCATCTCTAAGTTAAGAAAATGTTGAGGTAGGCTTATAGCATTCTTCCTATATTTCATTTTAGATTGTAAGCTCAGTGGCAGGGATACTATATCAATATTATGTTTTTATATAGCAACCATTGCAGTATACTCTTGGTGCTTAATAAATGTTTGTAATAATATTAACAAAAACCTCTTGTGTCTTGTTTAATTTGAATGGCATATATATGAAATAATGGGTATACATGAAAATTCAGGGATTCATGAATCACTGTGTGCAGTATGCCAAGGTATTCCTCTTCCAGGGCTTGGTCTTCCTCTGGCCCTTCACCTGCCTTAATTGTAGATTCTGGAGGGCTCTGTCTTGCATTCCTTTTTCTCCACTAGGGAGGTAAGATGGGTAATTGCACCTCCATGTGGGAACTATTGTGATGGGATGAGCACAGGGTGTATAAGATCACAATGGCAGAAACCCAAACAGGGACGGGAAGGTAAGGCTTCCTCGAGGACCTGGGTATTGCCAGACTATCAGAAGTTGCTTAGCAGAGAAGGAGGCTAGGGGGGTACGTGTCCCAGGCCCTCTTCCATTCCAGTTTTCTCCATTTTCCTTGGTGGCATCACCATCCATCCTGGCTCTCAAGCTAATTACAAGTTGACTTTGAGTTTTCACTCCCATGACCTCCACCTGCCTTCCTACATCTAACTACTCCAAAATCCATCACCCCAGCTGTGTAAAGGCTACTGAAACATTTCTTCTGCACCCGGCTTGCAGCTGCTGCCTGCCTTGGACTGTCCTCACAGTGCCCCCATCAATCAACTTACCCTTGTTTATTAGCTTCCTTGAAGCAGCAACAAAACAAAACATCTCCCAACTCTTTCCTGTGGCACCTGGGAAGTCTGTTTTTCTTTTAATGGTAATGCACCTGCCAAAGAGAATTGACTGTCTTCCCAGATCCTGACTGGCCCTCTTGTAATAAATGTACCTTTCTCACTTTTGAGACTTGGCTCAGATTCATCCCATTGGGGAAGTCTTTCCCAATTTCTTTAAACAATTCATATCTTTTTCTTTTTCTTTTTTTTTTTTTTTTTGCCCAGTTCTTTGTGTGTACCTCTGGCTTAGTGGTTATGATGTGCATTTTAAATATGGGTTTACATTCCTATCAGAAGGGTGGCTCCCTGAGGGGCAGGATTTTGTCTTTGTATCCTCAGTGCTGGTCACAGTGCCCACCACCAGCAGGAGCTCATTGATTACTGAACTAGTGAACACTTGGGCAGTGTACATCACACTTCTGCCAGAGTCAAGGATTCTGTAAAACAATTAGAATTTCTAAAAGCTAAAAACCAGCACAAAGACCACTTCTGTTCTTTATAAAAACAGAAATGCCTGACTAAGCATGGTTCACATCTGTAATCCTAACACTTTAGGAGGCCAAGGCAGGTGGATCACTGGAGTTAAGGACTTCAAGACCAGGGTCGCCTATGGCTCAAGGAGTAGGGCACCAGCCCCATATGCTGGAGGTGGTGGGGTCAAACCCAGCCCCAGCCAAAAAAAAAAAAAAAAAAAAAAACTGCAAAAAAAAAAAAAGGACTTGAAGACCAACCTGAGCAACAGCGAGACCCTATCCCTACTAAAAATAAAAAAAAAATTAGCCAGACATTGTAGGAGGTACCTGTAGTCCTACTACTTAGGAGGCTGAGGCAAGAGGATAGCGCAAACCCAGGAGCTATGATGCCATGGCACTCTACAAAGGGCGATGGAGTGAGACTCTGTCTCAAAAAAAAGAATAAAGAAATGCCATCACTTCTTTGCTTAAAAATAATCTGTGCCTCTAATATTAAACGCAGGATTCAAAATCCTATAAAGGATCTAAAAAATATGCAAAAAAGCATTTTAAAAAATGGAAGAAATACATCTTGGGCTTAAGCAATTCTCTTGCCTCAGCCTCCCAAGTAGCTGGGACTACAGGCACCTGCCATTAACACCCAGCTATTTTTTTTATTTTGTTGCAGTTGTCATTGTTTAGCTGGCCAGTTTGAACCCGCCAGCCTCAATGCATGTGGCCAGTGCCATAACCATTGTGCACAGGTGCCAAGCCAGTTTTGTTTTGTTTTGTTTGAGACAGAGTCTCACTCTGTCACCCTATGGTAGAGTGCCATGGTGTTATAGCTCACAGTAATCTCACAGTCCTGGGCTCAAGTGATCCTCTTGCCTCAGCATCCTGGGTAGCTGAGACTGTAGGCACCTGCCATGAATAGAAAAACCTGGCTAGTTTTTCTATTTTTAGTAGAGATGGGGTCTGGCTGTTGCAAGCTGGGAAAAGGTGTGGATATCAAGTGGAAGTGAGTGCATACTTTTAAAGCCTAGGACATATTCATCCTTTCACTCGGTTAAAACTGAGGTTTTGAAGCTTAATAAAAGTACTTTGACTCCACCAAGGCACTGTTAGATTAAAAATACTCAGTAACACTACAGAATACAAAAATCAATATACAAAAATCAGTAGTGTTTCTATACACCAACAATGAAGTATCCAAAGAAGAAATGAAGAAAATAGCCCCATTTATTATAGCACCAAATAAAAAACCTGTAGACAGAAATTTAACCAGGATGTAAGAGATCTGTAGACTGAAAAAATTATAAAACTTTGATGAAAGAAATGGAAGAAGGTATAATATAAATAAGTGGAAAAATATCCTGTGTTCATAGATTAGAAGAATTACTATTATTAAAATATCCATACTACCCAAAGTGATCTATAGATTCAACACAATCCCTATCAAAATTTCTTTCCTTCTTTCTTTTTTTTTTGGAGACAGAGTCTCACTTTGTTGCCCTCAGTAGTGCTCTGGCATCACAGCTCACAGCAACCTTAAACTCTTGGGTTTAAGCAATTCTCTTGCCTCAGCCTCCAGAGTAGCTGGGACTAG